CCCTAGCACATTTATGCGCATGATGAATCAGGTATTGAGACCATTCATTGGTAAATTTATTATTGTGTACTTTGACGATATTCTTATTTACAGTAAGAATCAAGAGGAGCATTTAGATCACTTGCGGCAAGTTTTACAAGCCTTGCGTGAACATAAGCTTTATGCAAATCTCAAGAAGTGTACCTTCCTCACCAGCGAAGTTGTGTTCTTGGGTTACATTATTACCGCAGAGGGTGTTCGCATTGATCCAAGCAAAGTTGCAGCCATTGACAGCTGGCCAATTCCAAAATCTATCCAGGAGGTTTGAAGCTTCCACGGATTAGCTTCTTTCTACAGGAGGTTCATATATAATTTTAGTTCAATTGCTATACCACTTACAGATTGCACCAAAGGGGAGAAGTTTCAGTGGACAGAACAAGCTCAAAAAAGCTTTGAGGAGCTTAGGAAGAAGTTGACTGAAGCTCTAGTCCTAGCTCTTCCTAACTTTGACCAAGTGTTTGAACTTAGCTATGATGCTTCTAACACCAGCATTGGTGCTGTCTTAAGCCAGGAGGGCCATCCTATTAGTTTTTTTAGTAAGAAGCTTAATGATGTCAAGCTCAAATATGCTACCTATGACAAGGAATTCTATGCCATTGTCCGAGCTCTTCAATATTGGAGTTATTATCTTCTGAATAAAGAGTTCATACTTTTTTCTAATCATGAAGCTCTCAAGTATTTAAATTTCCAGCAGAAGATCAGTCGTAAACATGCTCGTTGGAGTGAACTCTTATAGTCTTATCCATTCCTTATCAAACATAAGGTTGGAACTCTGAATTCCATAGATGATGCCCTTAGTTGTCGCCATGTGCTACTTGCAACACTGCAAACTAAGGTTGTTGGATTTGACCTTATCAAAGAGTTGTATTAGGATGATCCTGATTTCCGAGGAGTATGGGAAGCAACTATAAATCAACCTTTCCACCAGTTCTACAGACACGACGGCTTTTTATTTTGAGGTAAAACCCTTTGTATTCCACAGGGTTCCTTGAGAGAAGCCATAATTTGGGAAGCACATGATGGTGGATTAGCTGGACATTTTGGACGAGATAAGACAATTAACCTAGTGAAGGAGAACTTTTACTGGCCTCGACTTGAACGGGATGTCAACAGGCATATACAAAGATGCAGAATTTGTCACTTGGCTAAATCCAAGGGTCAGAATACTGGACTATACATGCCTCTGCCAATTCTAAAAGCACCTTGGGAAGATATAACTATAGATTTTGTTTTGGGTTTACCACAGACTCAGAGGCAAAAAGATTTTATCATGGTAGTTGTGGATCGTTTCTCAAAAATGGCCCATTTTATCCCATGCCAGAAGACTAACGATGCTGTTCAAGTAGCAGATTTGTACTTTAAGGAGATTGTGCATCTTCATGGCATTCCTAAAACTATCACTTCTGACCGTGATGTGAAGTTTCTTAGCCACTTTTGGCGGACATTATGGAAGAAGATGGGAACTAAGCTCTAGTTTAGCAGCGCTAGTCATCCCCAGACAGACGGTCAAACTAAAGCTATAAATAGGATTCTTGATAATCTTCTTCGCAGTTTTATGGGGAAGAATTTGAAGCAGTGGGATCTTATTCTTGCTCAAGTTGAGTTTGCTTATAATAACTCTATCAACTAAGCAACTGGAAGTGTTCATTTGAAGTTGTTTATGGCACTCATCCCCTTAGTCCACTAGACTTGACCCCTTCACTTGATAAGCAGTAATATAGCTTTGATGTTGACCAAAGGGCTAAGGAAATTAAGAAGTTACATGAGCAAGTCTGCGAGCGAATCCAAAAGCAGAATTTGAGATACAAAGCTCAACGTGACAAGCATCGAAAACAGCAGACTTTTAAGGTAGGAGACTTAGTTTGGATACATCTATGAAAGGAATGATTTCCTAAACAGTCAAACACCAAGTTATCCCCAAGAGCTGATGGTCCGTTCAAGATAGTGCAAAGGATCAACAATAATGCTTACAAGGTGAAATTACCTGGTTCTTATGGTGTATCTGCCACCTTCAATGTCGCTGATTTATCTCCGTACGTTGATGAAGATGATGAATTTGACTCGAGGGCGAGTTCTTCCCAACCCGAGGAGGATAAAATGGAAAGAGCATAAATGAGCTAAAACGGAAGGTACACACATAATGAAGTAAAAACAGGAGACACACATAATGGAGCATAATAAACTCTTTGTAACCTCCCCTTAATTTCTGTAACCCCCCCTTAAATTTGTATGGTTCAGTTTCATGAATTCTAGGACTATAAATAGGACCCTTGTGGTTGTGAAAGAGGCAAACTTGAAAGAATAAGAATTATTTGTTTTCATCTAGTTTCTGTGCCAGTGCCTTTCTTGGTTTATGATAAATCGAATTGGTTAGGTTTCTTAAGTATTTTCATATTTTGTTTAGAGCTGATAAAATATATTATCCCTTCATTGTGACTGCTTCTCCTTCAAAATTGCGATTGTTTAGGCAGGATAGTATTATTGTCATTCTCATCCTTATATTTCTGGGCAAAGCCGTTATCCTGCATTCCCTTTGTTCTTATATATTCTTTGTTTGTTTTTGTTTAAATGTCTGTTCTGTTTTGTTTTTCTTAGTGAGGAGAAATTCAATTACTTATGTGCAATTCATACGATCTGAAGATGAAAGTTTAGATGAGCATGAGTAAGACATTGATACTAGTGAGACATCATCATGATAAATTAGAGACCAAATTGTAGATAATATAAATTGAATATTTTGAAATTTATATTTTTATTTTAAGCTTTTAGAATTGAATATTTTATAATTTATGAATTTATTTTATCCTTTTAGAATCAAATATTTTTGCAATTTATGAATTTATTGTAGTTTTTCATAATTGAATATTTTGAATTTTACCATTTAATTATACCTTTTTAAAAACTAAGATTTTTGTTTATCAATGTATTTTATAGTTTTAATCTATGTTTTCAAAAATGATAATTTTAAGTTTAATTTTTTTTCTAAAAATATCAAACTAGTCACAAAAATATATACAAAAAAAATCATATCATTTTTGTCATTATATATCTCAATTGAATTTTAAATCAAATCATCGAAATAAATTTTAGTTTGTCTAACTCACTTCTAAAAAAGATGTCAAACCATAAATCATGTTACGATCACATATTTTTATTTTAATCTCCATTTACTAACCTTAATTGAGTCTAACCTTGGTTGAAATTTTTTTAATTCAAACATACCTGATGATAATGAGAGACAATGAAACCTAAATAGAAATGTAGATTTTAAATATATTTGGTTTACATAATTACCATATCAAAAATATATTAAATAAATATCAATATATCAATATGTATGCATGTTTATTGAGATATTTATAGAATGCCCATCAACAAGATCTTCATATCAAAAGCAATATTTGATCATATGACCTTGTGGGTCCTGGGCCAAATCTTTAACAAGTAGACCAACCTTTGTTGGTTATTAGAGTGTATTCATTTTGTGCAAACTATGAAATACACCATCTTTTTTGTTTTGGGTTTGAACTCTATATAGCAATTAGCAAAAGTACATAAATTACTATACAATATTCATGTATAGTCTCACGAGCATATAACTTCTAGAAGAAAACTCCTCCTCATGTTTAAATGCATTTCCTAAATCTTATTCACCCAGATAATATAATATTTGCATATGGAGGGTCAATATAAGGATTGACTTGAACCGCACGCAATTAACCCAGCAAGTTGTTGTTAACTCTCATTTTTATTTAAAATGTAATAATGGGAATGTACAAATATATTTTTTTTTAATTTGTGGACCATGAGATGGAGCTGTGTATCAATTGGGATGATTTAAAAGAGCATGAAAATGGCCAAATATAACATTGGATAAATATTTGAAACTTCTAATTTTTAACCCACTAATAAGACATATGGATGTGCAAAATTGCTTTTGAAACATAGAGGATGGAGGAAAACTCTTAATGATCATAAATTATTACATTGCCCGCACACCATTGATTACTACAATCTTCAAATAGTATGCAAGTCCATATTAGGACGGTGAAATAGCCTGCACGAAATTAATCAATACAATTAATAGAAACAAATTAAATACTACTACACATGCATTGAAGCCTCGGTGTTTCCCTTTCAACCATAAAACCCGCGGACCCTCTTCCAATTTTAGACTTTGCCATTAATGAAGCAGCCAAGCATGCCTCATGAGTCATGCCCCATTGTTGTCCTCATTCATCTAACTATTAACCATTGGAACTAGTGGGTAGATCTAAATTCTGAGTCATACCAAGGACACTATTCTTAAAAACTATTCTGTCACACAAGGTTGATCGTGCGACAATTCCTTAAAATTAAACAGACTCTTCCAGTAGAAATAAGGAAGGCCACAAAGCAACAAATATTAATATAATATACTCAAGCAACACAAAGGAGGAGAGAAGAAGAGCTTGGCCCTAGAGCCATGGCACACCATGGATTATATATACACAGACATGAAAGATAGCCTTAAGTCGCAATTGAATAACAGTTTTGAGAGCATAAAAGCATATTAAGACACTTTATTTTAATATAATGTTGTGAACATTTGAGAAGGTTATAAACAATTAAATATTGTTAAATATCATTAAACAAATTTAATACTGTATAAAAACTTCTTTCCATGATGTAAGTCCAAGAACATAAAATTCAAATACATTAAATTGTGGTTTTTTCGAGAAGCCAAGAAGACAAAATTGATTTAATAATTTTGCAAAAGAAATATAGTAAAAAAGAATCCAATACCTCTTCATCTCACACATAGGGGTTGCACAAGTCCACTTCTCCTCCAAGCCTATTTATTAGACCACTTTTGTTCCTTAGCATATACATACACTAGGAGTTCTTCTTATGTAGGCAATGCAAGACTTCTCCTTTTGACATATTTACACAATAATTATAACAATTCTCGACATGTGACAATGACAGGTAGTGACTTCACTTGGTTACAGTGCATGCCCTGCATAAGATGTTTTGATCAAGGTGATCTGGACTACTTGCATACTGATTTTAACTGGGGTCTCCATGCTGTGGACTGCAGAAGCATACAGTGTATACACATTGTGAATCCATCAGTAACGGAAGTCTTTTGTGAGGCTGGTGATTGTCAGTGTAAATATATGATAGAATATTCTGATGATTCTACTTCAGCTGGAGACGTGTTCCAAACTTTACTTAGACTTCAAACATCAGCTGGTGACTATGTGCTATTTCCTTCATTCATATTTGGATGTAGTAGAGAAACGAGAGGTGATTTTTCTGCAGTATCTTCTGGCATTGTTGGCCTTGGAAGAGCACCAGCATCAATGGTCTCACAACTCTATAACTACATTGATGGAAAATTTGCATATTGTTTAGTTCCACTGGGGCAAGATGTAGTTAGTGAAATGAGGTTTGGTCCAATTGCTGTGGTTTCTGGGCCAGATGTCATTTATACTCCAATGATAGCAACATATCCGACAAGTTATAACTATCATATTTTGATGGAGGGAATTACTGTGGGAGACGTATATGTACCTTATTTATCAGGTAATGATTGTGAATTTAATCCCATACATACATTAATTTATTGGTCAACATTCTTTTTTTTAAAAAAAAAATTTCTTGTTGATGGGATAATTTTACTTTCAGTTCCTAAAATTTCTCTAAGTTATTGATTTAATCATACATGCATTAATTTATCAGGTAATGATTGTGAATTTAATCTCATACATGCATTAATTTATCGGTCAACATTCTTTTTTTTTTAATTTCTTGTTGATGGGATAATTTTACTTTCGGTTCCTAAAATTTCTCTAAGTTATTGATTTAATGATTGAACTAAATGTTGACTTGGTATAACTCAGCTAGTATTTTATTAAGTTAAAGAATTATGGAGACTGAGTTATATTGAGTCAAAAATCCATAAGAATTGGGTTATTCCAAGGTAAAAAACCTATAAGAAATAAGTTATATGAATAAAAGTCCAAGGATTTGATCAATAATTGAGGAAATGTTCAAGAACCAATTAAAATGATATTTTTCCATAATTGATTTAGTAATGGATATTATAGTTGCAATAACATTTAGCAATAATAATAATATTTTCTTGAAGAGAAATAATAACAACAATATATGTTAATATTTTTATATTAGTTTTGATCATCATCAATTTACATCATGGTTGTTTCACTCATATCCTTCCCAGTAATATTTATAATTCAATTTTAATTTCATTACATTTCTTATATACAATTTAATTTCATTACTTTTATTACTCCAGTTGACTTATTTGGTCCTTTTTTGTGTTATAACAAAATAAATGCAGGTAATACTATAGCCAATACGATCATCGATTGTGGGACAACAGTGACTAGACTACCACCAAGACTTTACTCATTTCTTGAAGAACAAGTTGCAAGACAATTGGATCGATTATACAGACGTGGTACTGACCCAGGAGGATTTTTTAGCCTTTGCTATAAAAATATCAATGTTGAGAGAATTCAAAGTCCAAGTTTTAAAATTAATTTAAGAGGAGGAGTTTTGGAGTTAAGTGCAGAAAATATCTATATTATGATTGGTAACGAACTGTGCTTCTGTTTTAAACCTTACCCAGGCGATGAAGCTATCCTTGGGACCCTTCTTCAGGCAAACTTCATGGTTTCATATGACCTTCAAAGGAGGCAAATTGCCTTCAAGAAAATGAATTGCGCCAACTTGGACTAATATATATATATATATATTACATTGTGTGATACATGAACAAGTACGCTTGTCTTAGCTTCTTCTTTTGAATAAGAAGTTTATGATCTATTTATTACTGATCATTTATGTTCCCAACTAGTTAACTTCTTGGAGGCTCTTGATCCTCTCTACTTCTCTCATATACAAGAGAAGGTAATTGTGCATGGAATCCACGTTCATGCATATCATAATTATATGGATTTAAATCTTCTAAAGTTGACATATGTGAATTTCTATAAAGTTTTTCTTTTTTAGTATTTAATTTTTATCTAAATCTTCTAAAGTTTTTTTTCCTTTTTTGCATTCATATATGGATTTTTTTAGTGATGGAACAAAAAAAGAGTTAATTTTCAGGGTTTTATTATTTCTTATAAAATATAAAATGTTCACATAGAAATTTGCAAATCTCAATTTTAAAAACTTTAAATCCTAATTTATATACTATATATATAGGGGCCCATTAAAGGGATTCAAAGTAGAGAGAGAAGAGAGACATAGAGACAAGAGAACAGAATGGGTGAATGATCTAATGGTGTATTACTTTATTGAGGTACAATACACATGTACAGAAGAAGGACAGTGTGTATGATACACAAGTCTGTTACACAAGTTAGTTAGTGTAACTAAACCATCTAACTAAACCAACCAGTTACTTAACTGTTCATGTAATGCTCTCCCTCAATTTGAGGGGCTCTCCAACACCTAAGTGGCCCATTTGGTTCATTGAATCAAAGGGAATGTAATGGAATGTAATAATATATATGTAATGGAATGTAATCAATATTACATGGGTTTGTTTGGTCAGACATAAGAAATAGTGGGATTGAATCTATTTTTTAGACTTAATTAAATACAAATCAAAATATAAATAGACAAAAATACCTTTAAAATGGTATTGAATCTATTTTTTAGACTTAATTAAATGCAAATAAAATAAAAATAGACAAAAATACCCTTTAAAAAACTCACTCTCCTTCCTCTTGTCACAGTCATAATAATAATTCCAGATAAATGCACCGAGTAATGGTCTAGCAAATGATTAATGCAGCAATTAGCAATAAAAATGGAGTTCATTCCTAGAATACAAGAAGGAATGAAAAGATGAAATCAGAAATGAAGGTATTCTGCTAGAGGGAAAAGTTGTCAGAAGAAGATATGATTATAACCAATTATGTGCTCCCCCTCCTCACGTCCCCTTCTTATTCTTCCTCATCTTCTTTCAGCATTCGTAGCTTCCATGTGGGTTTCTTGATTTACCTAGCCCTTCTTAGCTCATTCTTGTAGCGGCTTATATTAGGTTCTTGGCCTATGAGTGCCTTCCCCTTTGGTCTAGACCCATTTCTTTTAGGTTTTAACTTGTGTGGGTAGTGACATTGCCCACCCCTTTAAGTTTGACCCTGTCCTCAAAGTTAAAAAATGGATATAGACACTATATGTCCTCATATTATTCCCAAGTGGAATCAACTGAAGCATCCCACTGGACCAACACGTGAAGAACCCACTAATCCTTTAATTGAACCTAGTGTACTTCCTCAATATCGTACGGAGAGTGACCACCCCCTTCATACATTTCTTCAATAACGAAACATGGAAGACTAGGTGATTCTTGTAGCTGGTAACAAACTGTAATAACCTATAATGTTTTGTGGAAAAAAATAAATAAAAAATATTATATTAAATATATAATAAGGTGTATTAATTATAGTTATATTAATTTTGGGACCACTATGACAAGAAGGAGTGTTGGTGTAGTGGAAGAGTGCATGCAACCCAATCATCAGGTCCCAAATTCAAATCTGACTAAGGCCAAAAAAGGGATTTTATTTTGTTTTTGTTTTCTGAAATTACCAAACTGCCCCTTTTCAATTTGATAAGGCTTCTCATCCCTTTTCTTCGATTGTTCGAGATTTGTCCAGAGAGAGAAATGCTCTTCCTTATGCTTCATTCCTTCACTCTTCCTTTGCATCTCCGATTCCTTCCTTTTCAATTTTAGCCATCACCGGCATGAGCTTTGACCACCGATTTGTCATAGCTAGCTGGAGTGAGAGCTCATTTTTTGCTGTTGGAAGTCAACTAAAAATCTCTTCCTTGTTCCTTGTACAAGCTCAGCGTTTCATTGGGTTAAGGTATAGATAATGGGAATCAATTTGCTTGTGTTGTTGTCAAGTTTTATTTCTGCTATGTTCTTGCTTATGATGCTTCTTCTTTCTACTCGATTCTTGTTGTTACTCTGTTCCTATAAACTCTGTCCAAGCATTGCTAATGGGTAGAAGAAATCAGGTCGTCAGAATAGATGGTGCTAGTCACGAGCTGAAGCGACGCTAATTCAGGTTTTTTTCCCTTTCTCTTGAACAGTGTTATGTCTTCCTCTGTTCCTTGCTCAACTTGAGATCCCATCTTCTCTCCCTATTCGGTTGGCAATCTCTTGATCTCTCCCTCTTTCACTATTATTAGTGATTAAGGTGAGGATTTTTTAGCACTCTTTCTTTGTTGAGCCATATGAGAGGGAGTGTGAGTTGATGGATGAAATTAGAGTTCTTTGATAGAACCTTGTTGCTGCCGTAGGTTATAAGAAGAAGGTTCAAATTTGAGCTAAAAACTTGACTTAAGACTTGGTAGTGATATACATATGGGTCATAATTTTAGAGTTAAATTAATTCTATTCAAAATAGTTGATGCAAAGAATTTATTAAGGTGAAATTGAAAGAGAATAGCTTTGATATATTACTTGAATATTGGCTTCATTGAGATGCCTACTGAAATGTGTGAAATAATTCTAAAGCATGAATTTTGGTTTCGAATTTTAAGTGATAATGGTTGATATAGGAAAAGTTAAAGGAAGTTTTTGTAAAGTAAAGATGATTTGTTAAATTTTGTTTAATAATATCCTTATAGGATGTGCGTAAGATGAGGATCCTGATAGAAATTGAAGAAAGAATATTGTGAGAATCTGGAACTTCAACAAGTAAGTGAATAGCATCCCCTTTAATTTATTTTTATTTGTATTCTTATTTTTAATAGATTTTCATTGAGATATTTCACTCTTATAAATTACATTAGTTTTGAAAATTTAAAATATCAATGCTGGTTAGTTAAAAGATGATATATGCATTTATTTCTTCAAGGAATATATTTCAAAGATTTATGAAATTAATTGGTTTGTTAAACTCTTCAAATCCTTGATTATTTTGATAATGCAAGCTTGTATATTATTTATGAAAAACCATTTTCAACAAGTCTTAAAGTGACATTTAAAATGATGCATGCGAGTTTGGTATTGAAAACGCAAATTGTATTTCAAAAATAATTATTCTTCTCATATGTTTGAAACACGATTTTTGAGAGGACTCTAAACAGAACACTGCTGCTAATGACAATTCCGTTAGCCCATAGCACGCTGTGGTTAAACACTAGCTAGTTTGTTTCATGAGTTTTATTCTCACATTTGGTATTCGTGGGCTTTGTACCCACATTTGATTTCGTGGCCTGAGTCGCGTTTGGTTATTTATCCTCGTGGATTGTGTGTCCACATTTGTTTCATAGCTTTGGCTGCGTTTGGTTACTTACCCTCATGAACTGGTGTGTCCGCATTTGTCTTTATAGCATAAGTTGTGTTTAGTTATTTACCTTCATAGACTGTGTGTCCACATTTATAACCTGTTCTGTTGAGTTCTCAAAATTTTAAATGTTGATTAATATGTGTTCTCAAAATTTATATGATTTTGGCTAACAATTTTACCACTTTGAGTAATATGTGAGTAAATTATTTTCTTTAAGCATGATAACATAAATTATTTTCAATTTACCCTTATTTTATTATTATGGGTATGACTTATAGGTTTATAAATTTTTATAGAATCATTTTTAATTAGTTAACACCATTATTAGAGTTTGTTGATTTAAATTTTAAGAATTTTACCATGGGAATACTATTCACTGAAAAAATTATTTTGGTCTCAGATTTGTTAGCTGACGCTAATCCTACCATCGACCTCTAAAGGAAAAACTAGCTACAATGGGTGGACATTTTTTATTGGTACTGTTGCTGTTAATGTAAATATATAATTTGTATGTCTTTTTGATTTAAAAGAAAGAGTAGATGCTCCACATAGGTTGTTGATAGACCTTATTTTTGGCTTGTATACTAGTTGCTAGTTGGAAGGAGCTACGCTCCTGATTTATACTATTATCTGTAAAAAATTTTGTTGTAAAATTTTTGGGAGATCCTAGTTACAGGGGAGGTTCTGCCAAAATTTCTACAAAATATTAAAGTCTTCTTATGATAAGTAATAATAAAAATGTTATAAATTCTATATAATCTAATTAATTTTTTAAACAAAATAAATGAAAATGAAATGAAATGAAATGAAAAATGAATTGAATTTTTCATGTTAAGGCTTACGGGAATGCGCGATGTAGTTTGCACCCGTGCCGATCACCCCTCTATTTTCAGGGAGTAACACAAACTTAGTCTGTAAGCAACGCTTTAATCTTGAAAGGTCCAAAATAACACATGGCCAATTTATGATATTTCCTAATTTGAATTGAGTGCTATCTATAAGGTTGTAATTTGACAAAAACCTAATCTCCAACATCAAAATAGACTTCTATAAGCTTTCTATCAGCAAAGCATTTGTATCTTGCTTGAACTCATTCCAGCTGAGACTTGAGACCAAACAGCATTTGATCCCATAACAAAAGGTATGCATGTAAATCTAAAGGGGTGTCTTTAGAGGATTGGTAATGAAGTATAGGAGGAGGCTCTCTACCATACACAGCCTTGAATAGGGACATTCCAATGGAAGAATGATAAGAAGAACTATACTAAAACTCAGCCCAAGGAAGAAAATCTAACCACTTACGAGGATTATCAGCCACAAAACATTAAAGATACATTTCCAAACTCCTCTTACTGCTTCCGATTGACCATCTATCTATGGATAGTAAGCTAAACTCATAAGTAATTGGGTGCCTTGCAATTTAGCCAACTGTCGCCAAAAGGAAGTAGTGAAGGCCTTGTCCTTATATGACACAATGGTCCTTGGAATTCCATGTAATATGACTACATGCTGCAGAAAAACATTAGTCACTGACTCAATGGTATAATTGCTCTTAAGTGGAATGAAATAAGCATATTTTGACAATCAATCCGCAACAACAAAGATTACTGAATAACCCCTTCATGTAGGCAAGGAAGTAATGAAATCTATTGAAATTTCTTCCCATATTCTATCAAGAATAGGTAAAGGACTCAACAAGCTTGCAGGTAACAGCTGTGATGACTTAGCTTGTTGGCAAATTGTGCGTTATAACATAAATTTTTGAATGTCAGGCCTCATTTTTGCTAATAAAACCAAGTGGCAATCTGTTTAAAGGTTTTGAAATAGGCAGCGTGACCTCCCCATACTGAAGCATGGAATTCCAACATGAAAATTTGAATAAGTTCAAAATTACTCGATGGTATGAATAGCTTGTGATGCCAAAACACATCAACACCAACCATAATATACAGTAAATAATCCTGGGGATCCATTAAGATCTTAGCGTTCAGGTCTTAAACTTCAAAGGAACCTTTGATAGCTTCATATACCTCATCCATAAAGGTGTTCTGAACTTGTGAGAAGGTAAATAAGGTGACCCGTGATAGAGCATCTGCTGCTTGGTTGGTATTACCTGGTTTATATTTCACAATGAACCAGAAGCCCATTAATTTTAGTAAACAGGCCTCTTACTCTAAGGTATGAACCTGTTGATCTAGGAGATGTCTCAAACTGGAGTGATCTGTCTTGATAATAAAAGGATGACCAAATAGATAATGCCAAAATTTAAAGACCACTTTAGTAATGGCATACAACTCTCTATTATAAACTGATTTTCTTGCATTCAGCTGGATATTTTTTTGAATAAAAATTAATAGGATGCCCTACTTGGCTTAACACAACTTCAATTCCCATTTCCGAAACATCTGTCTTTAAAATAAATGGCTTCAAAAAATCAAGAAGAGCCTTTTGTGCTTCTGGATTCCATATAAAACCATCCTTCCATAATAGCTGTGTCAATGGGGCTGCTATCTGTGCATATCGTCTAATGAATCTATAGAAATATTTTGTCAAACCTAAGAAATCCCTCAACTGGGTCATACTTAAAGGAATTAGCCATTATTGTACAGCTGTAACTTTAGATTAACCCACCTTTACTCCATCATTCAAAACTTTAGATTAATCCACCTTTACTCCATCATTCAAAACTATATACCCCAAATAATCAATCTTTAATTGGCCAAAAGAACATTTTAATAATTTGGCAAATAAACTATGCTGCTTCAATATCCAAAAAATAGTATCTACATGACTGAGATGTTTAAACCATGTGGCACTATATATAAGAATATTAGCTACTTGGTTATATTATCCTAAGTCCTTTACCATTTTCTCGATCTCTAATTTTTGATTGAAAGGGTATCGATATGGATAAACTTGCTCAGGTCCCTTGCCAGGCTATAAAATAATTTTATGCTCATGATTCCTTACTAGTGGTAACCCTCATGGCATTGCAAATACCTCTTTATACTTCTTTAGAACCTCTGCTAGATCATTAGGTATGGAATCCAACCCCACCCTTTCTAAATCATTCTTAACCTTGGTTGGGTCCATTGATCTTACCATAAACAATTTTGCCACTGAGTTTAACTTGATAATATGGGTCATATTATTTAATTGGGCCTTAGAAATGGGTGGTGAACTAGATCCTTGAAGCATGACAAACTTGCCATTTTGAATGAAGCAGATTGTCGCCGTGCTATAATTTACAACATGGGGTCCTAGTGTTTTCAACCAAGAAGCCCTAACTACAATGTCAACGTCAGCTACTAGTAGTACATACGACTAAAGATGAATGGTGTGACTGCATATTTACACAGGCAAATCGGTTATATAACCTTAGCTAGTCATTAGTTGTCCGGTACCAACTAACACTCGCAATATCAGAAATGGCTCTATTAGTAATACAAGGTGTTGCAAAATTCTCAGATGTATGAAGTTATCAAAACTTCCTCCATCTAGCAGAACTTGAACGTATGTTCCATATCACCCCAGTGAATCGAAGGGTAGCAACTCTTAAAAAGCCGCGAAGTGTGTATAAGGTGAGGTAATAAAGAGTTACATTCTATGATTGTTCTCCACCTGCCTCTATTCCATCATTCTCATCGATTTCATCATCCCTTATCAACATTATGAGTTATTTCTTATTGCAACGATAGGTTGGGGTAAATTTCTCATCATAAAAATAACATAACCCTTTTTCCTACCTAATTTGCATCTTTGTTGGCATAATTTTCTAAATTGAAGGTCGGTTTGGCATGGGAAAAAGAGGGGGTAACATACTCTTACTCCCTGGAAGCCCAGCTAGTGTATTAGTTGCCGCTACTAATGTCATGCTCTTTGTAGTAGCTACTATAAGTGATGGTGAATAGGTTGTTTATAATCATGCAAGAATATTAGCTAAATTCTCTTTATCCATATACAATCAACCGAGAACTATAACTCTCAATAGGGTAGTAGGAGCCTGTGCAACCACCTCTCACCTTATCTCAGTTTTAAGGCCCCCTCCAAAATAATCAATAAGAGACCCTTCAATTATATCTTTAGACCAATTTGCCAATGACATAAAACTCTTCATGTAGTTATTGTAAGAACCCTGTTGTATGAGCTTGAATAATTGGACCCACGTATACACATACTGGGTAGGTCCAAAATGTGCTTCTATAGCAAGAGCTAACTTAGCCCAAGTAGAAATGTGATTTAATCTCTTCATCATTTGAAACTAGGGTATAGCCATGCCCTCCATATGAATTCCAACTATCACAATCTTTTAAGGCTGAGTGGTCTAATAAAATTAGAAATGTTGTTCTATATGGAATAATTAATCTAGAGGTTTAGTATCATCAAAACGTAGAAAATCTACTTTTACCTATTTCAATAGTAGTACTGGATTTTGATTTTCATATGGAATAATAGACTCCTTCAATGTTTCAAAATTTATTTCCCTAATGTTTCTTTCCTTGCTTTACTGTAAGTTGTCCAGTGACTAAGTAACTATTTCCATGAAGCTTTCAATCTTAGAGAAATGTTGCTTTGTCTCTTCCATGAACTCTTTCACTTTCTTCATTTCGCCCTTCATTTCTCTTAATGAAAGCACCAAATTGTCATAGTCACAATAATAATTCCAAACAAATGCACAGAGTAATGGTATAGCAAATGATTAATGCAGCAATTAGCAATAAAAATGGACTTTGTTTTAGGAATACAAGAAGGAATGAAAAGATGAAATTAGAAATGTAGGTATTCTACCAGAGAGAAAAGTTGCTAGAAGATACGATTATAACCAATTATGTGCTCCCTCCTCACATCCCCTTCTTATTCTTCCTCAACCTCTTTTAGCATCCATAGCTTCTACGTGGATTTCCTAATTCGCCTAACTCTTCCCAACTCATTCTCGTATGGGCTTATATCAGGTTCTTGGCCTATGAGTGCCTTCCCCTTTGGTCTAGACCCATTTCCTTCAAGTTTTAACTTGTGGGCTGTGACACCTCTCTCCTTCCTCTTCTTCTACGACTGCCATCTTTAACCCAATAACCTTCTTTATCTCTATCTTGATATCCCAATGAAAATCCAACATAAATTATCGAACAACCATTAATTAGCAAAAACCTGGTAACAACCATGAAAAAATAATAATAATATTAAGAGTTATAATAATATATTTTAGGTTATATTTTATAATTTCGAGTAGATACAACAAAATGAATTTGCAGCTTAGTGAAAATTGCTCTTAATGTCTACTTTTAGGTCTTGAGTTCAAATCCTTAATGATAGGGATGATTTTAAATTTTTTCTTTAACTTTGTAAAATTACTAAAGTGCCCTCTTTAAAAAATTGATAAAACACCTATTAGATTTTTATTATAATATTTATTTGTAATTGCGTGTGTGTGTGTGTGTTTTTTTTTTTTTACATTACGAATTAGGAACATATCATTTTTTAGGTTGTATTTGCATGAATTGTGTGATGGTTATTGTGGTAATTTGGCTTGGATTGTATATCTTTGGGTGAGATTGTGAAATGTGGCAAA